AAAATGCAATCAATAAAAAGAAAAAATCTTGATACGAAAAAAAATATTCTGGTAACACTACTACGCCGAGTACGTCAGTCGGTCAGTCCGCATAAACTTTAGCCGTGAGACGCTTGTCCGTCATCGCTACAGCAATACTCGCACGTGCACCCTCGCTTACGAAAATTAATCTCCTTCTGTATTAATAGCTTTCAAGTAGTTAACATTGTTAAACCTTGCTTAATTCGCTAAACACATAATACAATTTGTGTTATATATTTTATATCTTAATTATTAATTAAATAATGAATTCCGAAGATTTTTCTTGCAAGGATCCACTTTTGTAGTCATATAAAGGTTATGTCCCTTTAATTGTTATCAATAGGGAGTAATTTTATTGCATTATATTTTTTATGTTCTATAATATAATAAATTGTCTTAAGACTAATCTGTAAAAAATTATAATACCATTTTTATTCACTTAAAGGATCGATGATATCCAGGAAAACTCTTTAGTTCGTCGAGGAAAACCAACAGCACATTTGGTCTACGGTGTTCCCTTGACCATAAACTCAGCTGTTCAAGTAATGGCGGAGTCAATGAAAATAGACCTCGAGTTAACACCAGATGCATCGGTCTGATTATAACTATTTATAAATGTAATTAATAATTAACAGAAGTAACTTAAAATATAAATTGTAGAACGAAATCCTTTCATAAAGTGTAGTTGAAAACTGTACAAAATTTCTATGATACAATAATGTAGACTACGTATAATAATTATGTAAATAAGATATGTATATTTCTTTACAGAAAGTCAATGGATTCGCGGATCAAATACACGAAATGTGGCAGGGACAAGGCACTGAGATTTATTGGGAGCAAAACTTTATTTGCAGCACTGAGGATCAATACAAAAAGATGACACATATGAGTAATCTATAACTTATACAACTTTCTAACCTATACGTTTTTACAAATCTGTCCTATATAAATATCGTTACTATGAAATGAACGAACATCTCATTGATAATATTATACATTAAAAAGAATTTATATTTCCAACAAATTTAAATTTATCGTAACAATTTTTAGAGAAATTTAATTTAAATGTGAATGTTTTTCCAATTAACGATGATATATTGTATTTTGTTTTTAATAATTGTTCATTATATGAATTAGTCAAAACTTAAACGGTAATCGGTAGAAACGATAATATACATAAATATATTGGTACAATCTTTTCCTTAGAAACCGCTACAATTATATTGCTTGGAGTCAGATGGTCAGTGAACATGACAAAACCTAATATGACGATCTAGCGCGGCTTCTTGGACACTACTCTCAGCTTCGCGATGATTAGTGTAATCTTCGTGCGAAGGAGGTTGTTTTTGTGTTCCTAATATAATTGTTTTATATCATTTTCTTCGAAAAAATATATATTATATCATATTCATTATGTGTATTACTTTTCCAGTTAAACAGCAATGGCAGTTTCTGTGAATATTTATCGGAAGGAAAGTTCTCTTTGCCTATCATACACGCATCCAAAACATCAGTGGGAAGCGAAGTTTGACGTGAGTACACTAAAACTCAGTTACTAATTGTATACTTACGAGAACGTATTTGTGTGGGTCAAACATAGCAGTTTTTAGTCTTCGATAAATACGGAATCATTATCCTTACTAATATTATAAATTCGAAAGTAACTCTGTCCGTCTGTGTATCTGTCTGTTACGCTTTCACGCCTAAACCACTGAACTGATTTTAATGAAATTTGGTACAGACATAGAGTTGACCTTGAGAAAGAATATAGGATAGTTTTTGTAACAGACTTTTGAAAGGTTCTCTTGGAAACGCAATATAACCGAACACCACGCGGGCGAAGCTGCGGGGGAAAGCTAGTTCTTCATAATTGCATCATGTTATTTCATTAACTTGATGAGTTACATATTAATTTAAAATTTAAAGTTTTGAGAACTTCGTATGATTTTTTTACTCCTTTCATGAGATCAGGTCTGCTTAGGAAGTTTCTTCCTTGATCTTCTGTTTCTAATTTATTTTATTGATGTTAATTTTTGTCATTATTTTTTGTGTTTGGTAAATAAGTATAAACATAACTTATCAGATAATTCAGTGACCGTAAAGTATTTCTTGATCATATTTTATCACTTATCAGGTATCTTGCGGCAGCGTACCCGTGATATTGACCTGAAGAAATACTGTATGTGTTAGTCGGAGAAGGCTGGCAGCATACAGTACACGAGAAACAGACTCAGTGAACTTGATCGAGAAGCTCGGGCTGAGGTGAATCAAGTATATACACATAGTATTAATTGAAGTGTGGTTGTTTTAAATCGAAGTATACAACCTCGGTTTCTTACAGGTCGCCTGTTTAGGTGGAAACCCACTACTGGAAAAATGTTTGAATGATCTCAGTGGCTGGAAGGATGACGTAATGATCAATTAATTATTGCACTATTTTGTGACACGGGACATTGTTTATCCGATATTATAAGACATGACTATGTAAACATTTTTTGTGTTTTTTCTATTCCAACAAATTATTTTAATTTATTCAAGCTTTTTCACAACAAATTATTTTAATTTATTCACTCTTTTAATGTATATAATCGTAAACTTTATTAGGTGATTAGATTTTAAGAAAATTATAAGTATTAAGTATGAAATTACAATATTGAAAAACAGGTCCTTTTTATTATGAATATATATATATATATATATATATATATATATATATATATACATATATATATGTATTTATTTTAAGCTTACAATGTATGTTTTTTATGTTACATGCGTCGAATTTATAAGTAGAAAGATGTAATTTTTAAAATAAATTGAAAATAATCATCATATACATAGAAATATAAAATTGAGCTTATATCAGAATGTAGAGGAGTGTGTTGTTGAGTACACTTCATCTGGACAAGAGTTAGTGCTGACAGTTCAGTACTTGACCCGCTACTGAAGAAATGATTTTTTTGCTCTTATTGTTTTAGAAAAAATGTTTGAGTAACGTTGTTCGCAACAAATATTTAGTTGTGGTTTATTTATTTAATATTATTATAATATATTATAATAATATTATATTTATTTATTTAAGAACTTAAATATGATACGAGTAACTTTGATATAGCTACGTTTTGAAACTATACATCTTTTATTGTTATATTTTATTACACAATTTCATAAGTTTTAGTTCTTTAGATTTCAATCTCTCCTTTCTCAAATCCATTATAAGTTTATTTCAAACGGATATTTGGTTTCTTGTCGCTCAATTTAACGTTACTTTTTATGTTACTGCGTATTATTTGTTTGAAATCATTGTTATCTGACAAATGATTGTGTCTCTATTTACATTTATATGGTTCCGAAAATTTTCCTTTTTTCAATATATTTAAGAACGTTCCAATAGCCTCTTAACAAAATTTTTCAATTAGAAAAATTATATTTATTAAAAGAGTATCAAATATAACAGAGGGACATAATAGATTTATAAAGTATAAACAAATATAAAAGATATTTAGCAACTTGTAATTTTTATTAACAGTATTTTAATGTCGTAAACGTGAATATTTGTGAGAGGTTTGTATGGTAATGTACGAACCGCTAAGTGTAATATGTGGAGACTTTAAAGAATGACTCATGATAATATGAATGTATGGTATATTTATATTTAAATGTATTCTATTGTACTTAATTTGGAAGTCGTTTATTAAGGAACAAATTTCTATCAGATTTATATACTCACATCGTCCTTGAACGTGGAGTAAAAACAAATATAAAGAAGAATACTTGTCTTCAAAACATTTTCGGTTTCCTTGATAAAGGGATTGACAGTTAATTTGTATTATTTTAATATGCATTTTAAATCTATACATTTGTTTTAAGATAGTTTATACCAAATTTCACACACGATTGAATTTGGGAAGGCCGAATATGAAAATAATTAACAACATCTGAATAAAGACTTACTTGTCAAGGAGATTTTAATGTACCGAATCTGCATTGAAAATCAAAACTAATACATACATACATAATCATGATAGTGGTAGCATATTCTTGATTTATTAAGGTAATTGCATGGAAAAGTTTTATATACAGTGATACTAATCTTATATAACGTTTAAAATAAGCTAATTATTGGTTAAAAAAATGTATATAAATTACTGTACTTTACTTTTCACTTTATTTTTATAATGAGAAATAAAAAAGGATCACTTTCATTATTTCTAGCATTACTTGCGAAATATAAATATACAATTAGTAATTACTTATCATACATATTTATATCAAAAATAGTTCAAATAGAAAATAAATTATTTAAAAAGGTCCTTATTATATTAAATACTGTAAATATATGTATTATAAAATTAATGAACGTACAAATATATCAATTGTGGCCATTCGTAGGTGAAAGCTGTGGTCAAAGTAATTCGCAGTTTTACGAGTACAGAGGGTCGTATAATGAATCTGAAACCTTTAATTAAGTCGTGTAATTTAAAAAAAGCCGCGTGAGCTTGGAGATCGTTAATAAAGGACTGTCCTGGTCCGGTGAAAAATTGTATTTTTGTGTCTAACGGAAATTATTTTGGTAGAATTTGCCAATCCAGGATGAAAGTAAATTTAAAAAGACGATAATTATTAATTTTTATAGATGAAAGTACGGATCAGAGGTGTATGTTATAAAATAATACTATGTTCTATATAATTTTGTTTGTATGTTCGTGATGTACAAAATCGATAATACAATATATGGTACCCGATGGACCCGATGGTATCCCATATATAGTCTTTAAAAAATGTGCATCGGTTCGTAAACACCTCCTAAATATATACGGTAAAATCTGGTCAAGGAAGCAAATCCCGGAGTGCTTCGGGAAAGCAATTTTTGTCCTCATTCCCAAAAAAGATCGAGTTACTGATCCGAAAGATACTAGACCGATAGCTTTAACAAATACTATATCGAAAACTATTTCTCGGTTCTACAAACGAGAATGACGCGATTCATGCTCAGCAACAACTATTTTAGGCCAAATCACCAGAAAGGGTTTTTACCCGGGATTTCTGGATGCTTAGAACACAACACCTTGCTGTCGGAGAGTTTAAAAGATGCTAGAAAAAGCGAGCGGCAAATCACGGTTTGTTGGATAGACTTGGAGAACGCGTTCGGGTCGATACAACACGAATTGATGCTATTCGCGTTTAGATGGTACAACTTTCCACCCCTAGTTAGAGATATGATCGCGTCGTATTACTCAAAATTAAGGTTTTCTATAATAACTAAAGAAGGCCCTTCAAAAAGTTTGAGTTATAATGTAGGACTGTTTCAAGGTTGTTGTCTATCTCCAATTGCGTTTAATATCGTAATTAACATCTTAGTAGACAAATTAATCTGTAACGAGAAAAAATGGGGTTATCGGTTTAAGTTTAATAATAAATACACGGAATCCATTTTAGCCTTCGCTGACGATCTCGCAATACTGACACGTAACCCCAAACACTGTCAGGTACTATTGGATGAAGTGGATAAATTCTGTGAGTGGACGGATGGATTGAGGACAAAACCCAGTAAATGTCACTGTCTGTGTCTTGGTAGGCGGAATACAAGATACACCTCATACGATCCGGGACTATCGTTAGGCGGTCAATGCATTTCTACGGTTACGGAAAATGCACCATTTAAATTTCTCGGTCGTAAGATAGATAATATAGGCCGTACTCCATCTTTAGAAGGAATAGTAGATAGCTTTTTGAACGATCTTAACAAGGTAGATAGCCAACTGATAAGTAACGTCAAAAAAGCGTGGATCTACGAGAATTACTTAACTTCACGTTTCAATTGGCCTTTCCTCGTCTATGATTTTTATAAAACCCTTTTGTCAAAGTTAGATGCAGGCGTCATAAAGATGTTGAAGTTGTGGCTCGGGCTCGCTCTAACGGCTGATTCATCGGCGTTATTTAGGGGAAGCAATAGTTTTGGGATGAGTCTAAAAAGGCCATCGGAGCTCTATAAACACCTAAGAGTTTCCAAGAGATATATCCTGGGGAAATCCCATGATGACATAGTGACATCGCTCCCAAAAGATGAAGATGCCCCCGAGCTAGAGTCACGACTTCAATTCCATAAGCAATTTATGATAGGAGCGCAAAGTAACAGAGCGGGGTTAGGATCAAATAGGAAAGTCCAAGATGCGGATATATTGAAGTCTTTTATTCGGCAAGACGAGAATGATAAATATAAGATCCATGCAATGAATTTAGAAATGCAGAACGAGTGGTTAGACATAGGAGATTTTTGCATCCCATTAGCATTAAAATGGCGCACTTTAATTTATGATTGGTCGCCAGCATTGCCTAAATTCTATCTCAATGCGTTCCAGATGACTCTCCCAGATCAGAGTAATTTAGTAAGATGGGGTAAAAGTACCGAAAAAACTTGCTATATCTGTGGAAAGGCAGTTGGAACTGCTAAGCATCTGCTGGTGGGATGTAAGGTACTCCTTGACAGCGGTCAATACTCGCGTCGTCACGATAGGGTTCTAGAAGTCATACGTGAAGCGGTTAGTCTTTCGGTAGCCAGAGCGCAAAAGGGAATAACCACAAACGAACGATCAGTAGGTTTTGTGAAAGAAGGCACTAGGGCTACAAAATCAAACGTCAAGCCTTACTCCATCCTTAAAGCGGCGTCGGATTGGACTATAATGATGGACACGTATGAAAAACAATATAAAATCCCCGAGGATATTTGTGCGTCGGCCTCCAGACCGGATATATTTTTGTTTTCGCGAATTTTAAAGCGCGTAGTGATGATAGAGCTTACGGTCCCTTGGGAAACCAACATCCCCAAAGACCATACCATCAAGGTCAACAAATATTACGAGCTCACAAACGAACTCACTCGAAATAGGTTCGTAGTAAATTTGTACGCGGTAGAGGTGGGAGCGAGAGGTATAACAGCGAAATCTCTCTATAACCTACTAAAGGACTTGGGCTTGTCCAGAACTCACATTAATGCATTCTTGGAACGTACATCGAAGGCAGCCCTAGTAGGTTCTTTTCAAATTTGGTTAGGTAGGGAGAGGAGCTTGGACAGTGGAGGTGAGCGTATAACGCGCGTTAGTTAAGGGGCCCCTTAAACCTACACTTGGGTCGCAAGTCCCAGGCACTGTTGAAGCTCCTCCCCCTGCAACGCGATGGACCCGGCACCCGCACGGTGAATCCATGGAATGCTGAGAAGTTTCGTCTATAAATGAACGTAAATACATAAAAATAGCGACGTAACATTTGATAAAATTGTTTTGTTAAACTGAGTAAAAAACATGATTTATTTGAAAATATTATGACTCTCCTAATATTTTTTTATTAATGCTCTACTAGAATTCCTAAATTTAATTGTCGTTTTAACTTGACATTGTTCTCATTATTGTCATAAATTCTACTAATATATGTAGTCGACGTCAGTAATTTAAACAAAATGATTTCTAGTGTAAGTTTCTTCAGTGCTTTTGAAGTGAGGTTAATATCCTGAGTTTTTCACATTTTTCACTAAAAGCTTAATATTTTTCTCCTAAAATAAAAAAAAAACTCCGTTCTGATTATACGTCATTCAAACTCTCCCGAACTCCTACACAGAGGTTAAAGTTCGCTTACCACTTTATTCTTTTATTTAAATTTCAATTTCCTTAACTCTTGTATACCTTAAATTATATTCTTTACAAAAAAAAGTGGGTGTTATACTTTTGGTGTCGATATTTGTATGCTTGTGGGAGTTCATATGTGTGTGCGTCATCTGTATATTAGTTTATCTCTTCCCATCTCTTACATAGATCCACCAATTTCGATGCGATTCTTGTCATTTGACAATATCGGTTCTTTTAGAAAATTATATTAGCTATGTTGGCCTACGATAACTGGATAACTCTTTACCAGTTTAATGTTTAAATGATAATTGATAAAAAAATACTGTTGTTTTTTATATTTTATAATGACTGTTGCTATAAAGTATGTAATAATAACATGTTAAGGGATCTTCCTTTATAATACAAGACTTTTAAGTTCATACAAATTGTTTTTAATAAAAACTGAAAGAATAAAAGTAGTAAAATTGCTGGATCGCAAGCACATAGCAAAACTGAATGAAAATTTTAGGTACTAGTGGAACTTGTTTAGCAATAAATTATATGATTATCTGTTACTTTAACCAAGCGGCTATAAACTAATAATGAGGTATTAAATATTTCTGTGTGTATTATACTTCTTTATTCTGAAAGAAATATACGATAGAAACGTTACTTAAATATTGATGTAATAGTTATTTATAAGATCCTTGAAATCAATATACAAAAATCTTTTAGAATCAGTATGTAGTAGCATAAAATAAGATTGTTCTCACAATAATGTAAATACCTGTAATGGTGTATCACACTGAACAAGTTTATTTTTTTATATTTTTTTTTCAACATATAGTTTGTGAATATGCCGATGGTATTTCAGAAATAAATAAATAAATAAATATAACATTAGAGCTCCCGACTCAGTAAGTCAAACGAACCGCTAAATAAGTACCGGAGTGTGATATAAATGTATTGATTTCTCTTTTATAACTAAACTAAATAAATAAAATTATTATATTTTTCATTGAGTTTGAAGTTGTTAAATTGATTTAATAAAGAACATTTATCTAGAGTACATATTATAAAACTTGTTCTCCATTATAATGTGAGATGTACTCCTTGATATCTGTCGTCCCATTTACGTGGTGTATGATAGAGAGCATGTTAATGTGAGCGTTACGTCGGCTTTAGACTTGTTAAATATTAATGAACATCCGCGACTGTGTACACTAGAACCTACACTAGGTTAGATAAGAGATCTCAACAATGACAAACAAACAAACAAACCAAAAGATTCAAATGACGAGTGACAGAGTGATGGTTCAGAATTTGACTTCAATTATAAAATGGGAGAGTAAAAAATGAACATGAATTAAAGTGATTGTAAAGTTAACAGAGAAAATATTTATATTTGTAGTCAATATTAAAACACGACATGATGAAATCATGCATAAAGATTCTAGTGATTGTATGTATATCATATTAAGACACTTTTCATTTGAAATTGATTTTTCCGTTTGAATTAGGCCCGGGCAAATAATTCGGTAAGTTAAATTTCATTTATTGTTAGTTTATATAACTAAGATAATAATCATGATATATCTGTATAACTGCATTGGCTTCCAGGTTATACAATTTTTAATGCCAAAAAATAGCGAAGTAAAAAATATATATATAAAGTATGTTTGTGAGATTGAAATGCTATAATTACTCCCATATAAAAAAATATAACTGAAAAACTTTATTTTTCGAAATTTTGCACAAAGGTCTTATAAATAAATTAAAGGTTTCTGAAAATCAAACTAATTTGTTGTTATTCAAATATTATTAATATAAAATTTTGGTCCAAGCTAAATGTCAGCTCTTTTTTTTAAGTTTACAAAACTGACTTACAACTAATGTATACAAAATAAAATCTAAACTAAACAGAGTGTCATTAAGTTGCAGTTTTCTGGATGTAAACCTAGCATGCTTTAAAAAACATATACCTTGCTTAGTTAATAAGAACAGTACTTGTGTAATTACTGACTAGTTAGTTATTTGATTATTACATAAAATAATATGATTTTGTTTTAAGTTTACTTTTAAGAGAACCAATTGATTCACTGAATACGTCTAGGTGTTGACGACTACCGTTCGCAAGCGAGCAAATACGGAAAATTGGCGAATGTTGACCAAGATTTGATTTGACATCAGGCAGGCTAAATATTTTACGATTTTGTAAACGGCTACCTTGACGCGGAATGTAGAAACTGATTTCAGCAAGTAGATCAGGTGCATCAATATATCCATGCAATAATTTGTATAAAAAAAGAAAGTCGGCAGCTTCTCTTCTATATTTAAGAGTTTGCACTTTATAATTAATTAGCCGTGCGTCGTAAGAATTAAAATTCTTTGCATTTAGATTTGTGTACGCTAAGTAATATAGAAAACTTTTTTGTACACGTTCTATTCTATCAGAGTGCACCTCATACCCAGAACTCCAAGCAACTGAACAATATTCTAGGATACTCTTTATTATACTATTGTATACTAATATTGTCAGGCTCGGATCCTTAAAGATTTTCATTAATCTTAACACCAGACCAGACACTGGCGAGGCTTTTGATATGACCTATATCTTTAATAAAACTTAACCAACGTTATAAAAATATATATTTTTATCATAAGACCGTATTAGTTAAATATTAGCAATACAATAATTAAAAAACTTGAATAGGAAATCTTTTAAGTTTATTTTACTCAAGTAAAGAATTTATTATTTATTTATGTCAAATATTACAAGAGATTAAAAATAATATGTACTTTCTACTGTTACTGTTTTATATTGAATTAACTTGTCGTAGTGTTTCTGTTTCAATCGAACGTCCAGCATCTCTTTAGTAAATGAAACCGTTTCTATAACTATTTTGTAGGAATGTTCCAATTATAATACAAATGAAATGAAAATCAGTTATTTGTATTCATTAAGATATAAATGTAGCTACAAGCTAATATTCTCAGACTATTTATATACGTAATAGATTACGTCTGTCACAAAAGTACCGAGGAGCCTACTATATATAATTAAAAATTGGTAAGAATTATTAATTACAAAGACTAAAAAGAAAATTCTTTTATTATATCTTTCTCAAAATAACAGGATATAAAAAAAAAACAGTTTGAATATTATACACAATGCCTATGTTAAAATATTTTTGGAATATTATACCCGCATGTGGTGAATGCATAATAAACTTTATAATTATAGCCACATTATTGTAAAATTGTTAAATGAAAATAAATTGGCGTCAGTCAGTTGCACAGGTTCGCGGGAACTTGTTGTTTTATTCAGGACATGGAGTCAACACAAAAGTTTGCGAACTCTTATATATTTTTGATATTATATAAATAGTTTTTGGTTAAATTTTGACAATTCCACGCGATCTGTGCAATGTTTTGTACAAATATATAATTATTCATTAATTATAATTATAATAATTATTTTTAATTTATAAAACTTTAAAATTATCTAAATTATTACATGTTTTAATAAGTACATGAGAAATATGAACGAACATAAACCGCGTTGCTGTGAGATTGACATTTGAAAATGTAATAACTGTAAGGTGACCTTGAAATAGGGGTCACGAGATTTATTCAGAAAACACAACAACGTGCTATATTAAAGAACTGATGAATTTTTATTCAAATAATGTTTTTTGATTAAGAAAAATTTAAGCGTTATATGAAGTCAGTCGTATAGAGTCACTCGCTTCACTGGGTTTCGATATTGAATTATACCTACTCTTCAATATTGATAAAATTAGAATAGAGCCATATTGTAAATTTTAAAATCAAAAAGTATTGTTAAATTAAATATTCAGCCAATCATGCCTTTCGTAGTCTAAAATAGTAGAAGTATTAGTTAAATATAAAACGTGAGATTATAAGATTCATTCATGTGTTCCAAATTTTTATCGGTATTTTACTTGAACTAATTTTATCACTCAGAAGTTTATCGAAAATTTCATTGTTTAAAGATTCCTTCAGATAACGCAGTAAACAATTAAAATAAAAAATTGCTCAAAAAAAATTTGTTTGGTTTTGCATTTGATTTTTTAAAACCTTAGTTTTAACAAAGTTCGCTATGTACATAAGTACATCTAACTTTTAAAGCTCGGACTAGTAAGCCGGCACATGAGGTTTGTCTTGAGGCGACTGATTTGTATCATCTTACAAAAATAAATAATTTTATAAAAACTAATAGGATTTAATAAATAATATTAAAGTGGAATATATATTGTTAATTATGATTGATTAATTTGATCTTGTTGGGTATTCATTGTTTTGTATTTTTGAATATTTTTTTCCAAATTTCTTTATAATTATGTCTGTACTCATACTTAAGTAACAATAATAAATGAAAAGTTATTAAGAAGTTAAAAATTTCCTTTGTTCATAAAATGATAATGATTATAAGATTATATTTCTTTTGAATGGAACTAATCATAAAGAGGTTTCTCTTGAGG